TTTTTTTTTTTTTTTTTTTTTGTACCGGGGATGGAACTCCGGTCCTTGCGCTTGTGAAGCAGCTGGCAGAATCACCAAGCTAAACCCCTGGCCCAACCACCTGGTTTTCTAAGGAGGAGAAGGAAAGAGGCACGACAGGCCTTGCCCTGACTGACCCTGACGCTCACCGGATGATGTCTGTGTACTCGCGGTCCTTGCCCTTGCTCTCCTTCCACCTCCTGTACATCACCGAGGCGTCCACGTTGGCCGGCGAGAAGGTGTTGGGCTCATTCAGCAGGGATATCACGCTCAGAAGGATGGTCCTGGGGGAGTGGTGGGTCAGGGCAGGGGACGCCGGGCACACAAGAGTCTGCACCCGAGCGAGAGGAGCCTCAAGCCTGGGTACGGTGGGGGATGCCGCGAGGGGCTGGACTGGGGACAGGTGGGAGCCCTCACCTGACATTCTGCGTGGGGTTCCACCGCTCTGAGGGCAGCTCCCCACTCTGGGGGTCATCCACTGGGGGGTGCAGGATGGAGATGCACACGTCCCCTGTCTGCGAGGAGGAGAGAGTCGCACAGGTCAGCTGGCTCCCGGCACCTGCCAAGCACAGGCTGTGGGAGGTGGGTATGTGTACGGGTGGGGTGTACGTGTGCATATGTGTGCAGTGCTCCTCGTGGGAGGTATGTGCGTGTCTGTGCCTGTGTCTACAAGTGTGCAGGTGCATGATGGCAGCACAGGCTTACCTCATAGATGTTCGGGTGCCACATCTTGGTCAGAAAGCGGAAGGCTGGTGGGGAGTACGGGTAGTCGATGGGAAATTTGAGCCGGGCCTGAGGGGCACAAAGCAGAGCGCTCAAGGGTGCGCAGAACCCAGAACTCACTTTGCAGACTAGTGTCCAAGGCCTGTTAGCACTGTGCCTGAAGGCTGTGGCTCCACAGGGATAGGAACTTCCTATCTGTCACCCACATCAGGCTGCTTTGGCCTTTTCAGTCACCTGAGCTGATCCCAGCTACCACCAAGCCCAGGTGGCCAGACTAGGCGCAGGTGGCTGGCCACTTGAGAACAAGGGTACCAGCTATCTGGGGGGCCTCGACCATGGGTGGTCTAGACCCAGGCCCCCATCAGCAGATGTCATCGGTTGGCAGGGGCTCCAGGCCACCCTTGGAGGTAGGTGTATGGCCCATGCAGCCTGGTGTCCAGGCTGAGGGAGGGCTAGCATGGGTGCATTTACTTGGCTGGGGGGAGCTGAGTCAGCAGGGACCCAGGCCTTGGGGGGGGACACATTCCATGTCACTGCCTTGCTCCTCCTGTGACCTGGGCAAGGTTGGCCACAAGGGAGGATCCCAGCCACCTCCTCATCAGAGCTGCTCCAGTGGTGGAGGCTGTGACTCTGTCCACTGCCCTGAGGGCCTCAGAAGGTAAACAAGGAAGCCCTGTCCCCAGCTAATGGGCCAGGGCGCTGGAGGTGGAGCTCCAAGGGGTGGAGGCCAGCCTTTCCCTAGTCTTCCGGAAGTCCCCTCTGGACACCCAGCCTGTTCTGGAAGGAGGGGCTAATCCCCCCAGTGCTAGGCTCCATCGAAATCCCTTGCTGCCCAGGACCTCTGAGTTTTCCTTCCAGACCACAGCTGCAGTAGGACCCTGGCCTGGCCTTGGGGTGGAATTTGGTCACCCCTACTTTGAGCTGAGTCCACACTCTTCCCCCAAGCAGACTAAAGGAGTTAGGGATGCTGCTTACACCATTTGGTGACTTCAGAGGTTTCTTATTCCAGACTCCATTTGGAGTGGTGACATAAGGATGTCCACATTGTGTCTCTCTACCCCATCCTATCCTGTAACTCAGAAGGGCAACTCAAGAATTACTCTCTAGGACAGACAAGCTGTTGCACGCCTGTAATCCCAGCACTTCTGAGGCTGAGGTAGGAGGATCTGGAGTAGGAGACCAGCATGGGTTACATGCTGAGCTCAAGGCCAGCCTGAACTACACAGAGAAATCCTATCTTGAAAAAAACTAAATAAATAAGTACGTAAATGAATAAACGAACAGCTTCCTAGTAGAAAAGGTCGCTGCCCTCATGGCTAGTGGGCAGGTATGGTGCCAATACAGACACCTCTGCAGCCAGATGGGCTTTGGATTCTATTCCCTCCCACCTGCTCCCCTCACAGGAGGGTGACCCTGCCTTCCTCCCTCTGGCTCCAAAATAGGGTCCCGTGTCTCTGAAAGGAGTCCAAGGCCTCAGCTGGGCTCTGCTTGTGAAGTCAAGAAAACTGCCCTGATTTTTGCCCTCGTTCTTTGTCACACCAGACAGGAACACAGCCACTCTGGGGGATGGCCTTTGGCTCCCCACTCCCAACAACAAAAACACCAAAGACTGCAGCCTCGTGGGGGCGGGCAGGAGAAACAGCCCAGAAAGCAAGATCTGGGCCCCCAAAAGCCACCTGCTCAGGGGAACTAGAGAGAGGGGTAACAGGGGACCCTCAGGGTGCTGCAGGCAGGGAACAGGACAGCAACCCCAGGTGTGGCTGGGGGAGCAGTGTGAGCGCGGTGACCCCTGCCTCCATGTTCCCGAGGGCACAGGTTACATAAAGCCAGGGAGCGGCCCCGCTCTGGGGAAGGGTGGCCGCTTTCCAAGCAGGTCTGGTTGCCAAGCCCCATCCGGGCCCCTGCTGGAACCGAGCAGTGGCCGCGGCAGGTGCCGCCGGTGCCCTCTTCCCTGAGGTGAGGTCAACGAGCGCCTCGCACCCGCACAAAGCGAGGGGGCCCCGCTTGCCCTCCGGGTGATGGAGGAAGCCTAGGCTGCGGCCGGCTCAGGGAGCCAGGGGAGGCCGCTGGGGCGACTGACAGCAGAGGGACGCAGGGGAACCCGAGCTCACCTTGAAGTAGCCGCCTTCGTAGTAAGTGTTGGGGGGCCCGAAGATGGCCACCTCCCAGTTGTACAGGTCGCCCTCGTCCACCAGAGCCACGCGGAAGCCCTCCACCGGCTCCTCCTGCAGCCCCTTGAGCTCCAGCAGCAGCGCTTTCTGGGAACTGGGCACCAGCGGCCGAGCCATCGCGGTGGTGGTGGTGGTGGTAGCGGCGGCGGCGGCGGCGGC